GCGGCTCCGCCGCTGCAAAGAATTAGAAACGTGAAGTCGCTTAGATGTGGATACATTTATCTGCTTAATTTGTGATGGGATCTCTATTAACGGTGAATATTAACTAAACCGCATAAAATGCGAATAAATAGCCGATGTTAATATGATTGTAATTTCACGGATAAAAATAGTACATGATCGATTTTTTATTTTTTTATTTTTATTTTTTTTATGTTGTCAGTCAAGATAACATCTAGCGCCACCTGCCGCCCTGACACCAACTCACACATCTTCATTCAGTCTTACTTGTAAATCGATTTTTCTTTTCTTGGACGTTTTGATGTTAGCTTGTCGATGTCTCAGTGTCATTCGCTGGGAAAATCAATGAGCAGCTTGAGGTGACTCTGCTGCTCTCTAGTGGCGAGAAGCCGTAATGTTGGCTGGTAACAATCGGAATGCATTGTGGGAGATGTAGTTTGTAGTCAATTTGCTCAAAACCTATTTTAAGTCAATGTCGGCCTATAAAATGCTGGGGCGGGCACATAAAATGACATGGCGGGCCGCATGTGGCCCGCGGGCCTTGAGTTTGACACATGTGTATTAAGCTGATAGTTTTTTGTGTGTGTAGGATTTGTCTATCTTCAGAACTCTAATGGAAGACTGCCTAGCAGCATTTTACTTAACAGAGAGGCAGTTTACTAAGACTATGAAATCGTGCTTTGCTTTCTCTGTTTATGATGCAATCACGATTTGCAGTGTTTCATTACTTTTTGTTCTAAGTTAACTTGCTCAGGTGTGTATAATTCTGTTTTATGCAACCTTATAATCTTTTCAAATCACCTTGCAGTATAAATACAGAGCTTTTTTCAAGTCTTAATAAGTCACCTGCATATCTGACTGACCCACATCTACTCTGCTAATGCCTGTCAGGATTTCAGTACGCTGTACAGTAGTTTCATCTATTCAGCTGTTGCCTTTTATTTTTTCCCTTTTTCTATTTTCACACTCCCGTAGCTCTGTCTTTGCCCCCCAGGGTTTTAACTTTGGCCTCTGAATAAGCTTGTTGGAGGTGATGGAGGATCTCAGAGAAAGGCAGAGCACTTTGGCTGATTTCCAGAGAAAGGTAATGACAGTCACCATCAATACCGGCCACTCCATTTGCCACAGACAACGTCTGCAAAACTAACAAGACTTGAGGTTAATACTGGCAGGACCTACACTGTTTCTGCTCAGGTAATTCGACTGATGTCGAAACGGATGGCTTGAGATGTTCTGATACATGTGCTAACATCACTCGGGCAGCTTCAGATCCCTGACTGGGCATGTTGTGAGCTAAGGAATTGTCTGACAGAAAGGAGAAAGGGTAGCTGAGCAACATGCTATAAATATACTGCACAGGAAAGTGATGATGTAAAATGTTTAGGAGAAGAAGTGTGAACCGTATGAAATAAATGCTTTGTGCAATGCCCCAATTTTGAAGCAACATATAAAATTAAAAGCTTTGTATATTTCCTACACAGATTAAAATGGAAGTTGAGAAGTATGGCTGCTTGTGTCAACCTGTGCAAAACGGGCAACTCGGCTTAGAAAGAATGTGGAGCTAATGCTATGATGGGGCCATAACATAATATCATACGTGTGTATGTGTGTAAAAGGAAAATTGCATCTTTATATATCATTCAATGTATTTTTGCATGTTTTCACACATGCAGGTTGTGAAATCATGTTATTCCCTTTAGACAGCATAGCAAATCTAGTATGTGATCTTGCACAGAAAACTGAGTTTTCTGAAGCACAAAACAAATTAATAAAAAAGAAAAAATGTTGGAAATATTTTTAACGACTGCATTTTCTGACTTTAACCCGGTTCATCTGCAGCGAAACACACAGTGCAGAAGCTTCCCACACAGTGAAAGTTATGAGTTGGCAAAAGTACCAAAATTAATTTTTTTATATTTCTGCATACACTATGGAGAATTTTAAAAACTGAACAGATTTCACTTGGATCATATGTCATCTGAACTTGAGATCAGTTGCCCGTGGCAACTGAAAATGAAGCAAGCTGCAAGGCAGTGCTGAAATTGCATCGTGGTTCTTTCGGTAGAGCAAACTGTAAACAGAAAAGTTATGGAAAAAAACATTCATAACCGTGCTCAAAAAATGCGAATACATTAACCAAAATTTGAAGTGCAGCATTTTATATTTCATAAGTATTTGTGTAAAACACCGGAATATACAGTGATAGATCAGCAGGATTGACAACAGTATTTACCTCCTCAAATAGCTCCAGGCTGTACGAGTTGTCATCGTCTGCAAAGTAGATGATGCCCGGCTGGCTGTTGTTGTTTTTGAAGGTCTCCCTAAGCCAACGCAAGGCCAGGTTCCGCTGCATGGTTCCTCTGGGAATCCTGGGGTCACGAGTGTCACCTCGTACCTTAAAGTTCTTGGGAGTCTCCACGTTGAGGTGGGTGTAGTTTAGCCCCGTCTCTCGGAGGAGACTTGTGACGAGAGGAGTTCTCCTCTGCGAGTCTTCTATCAGAATCCAGTGCAAGTTGGGGACATGGAGGAAGGTGTTTGCGATGCGGGTCAGCTCTGCCTTCTGCACCGGCCGGCTGTATGTGGGAGTGATGATGTGAATCGTGGGCAGCACATCTGACCAGGGTGGAGGCCGCGTGTACACGTACTCTGTCCTCACCACTTCCACAATGTCCTTATCTGAGGCACAGTATTCTTTGGAGTCCTGACCACCAGCCTCCCTCCTGCCCTCGCCGCCTTCATCTGCAGATATGGGGATAAGAAGGCAGGTAAGGCATTAGTGCAATCCTGAGCTGCTCTGAATATTTGCCTCAGGTGACTTAAACCCAATGGGGGTAAAGTGTACCTGAGAGTCGGTGGTGGTGGACCGCAAGCCTCTCTGGAATGATAAAGATCTCTTTTACTAGGTGGTGACAGGCTGCAAGAAGTGAAAGCAGGCACCGTGAGAGGACAAAACAGCTGGCGGAGAGGGAGACAGTGCGAAACGACGGAGGGGAAACATGAGCTCAGCTATTCCGAAAGCATTGCTTATGGACTTTTATTCCAATGTAATCATAAGAACAAGTCTACGTGGACTGATTTTTTTTTTTTTGGTCCAGACTCCACCACAGACTCCCTCTCCATTCTTTTGCCATTTACTGCATCATTTAGGTGTAGCCCTGTTATAATTTACCGCAACTGAGAATATCTTTGACCAATTGCTCAAGTGGAAAAAAAGGGCACCTTGTGTGGCATATGGAACCACCAGCTGCCTTAGTAATGTGAGATTTTTTTCTTCTAGGCACAGCTTGTGCATCATCTTTGCATATATATTTCAAATCAATAGCCATGTATTGTCTTGGGCTACACCCAATAGACTGTAAGAAAAAAAATAAAATAAATACAGAAGGGCACTGTTTTGTCCAGAGGAAAAAGGGGCAGGTGCTCCAGCGCCTCCTAGTGTCTATCTGTGCAAGTCCCCTGCTCAGTGGCAGAAACAAGGATAGCTCTTCAGGTGACCAGAAAGTCTGAAAGCACCTCTGGCAGTGAGGGAGACAGAAACGTGCCATCCTGACCATCTGTGCTGAGCTTCACTAGATCCATACTGCATAATGTCAGGAGGTGACACATGCGGACACAGAAAATATTCCAAGGTTGAGTGAGTACTCTCATCTTGTTTGTGACTCATTGGATTTAATGGGTCTCATTGAGTTTGGCCCCACTGCTTCCAAGTGTCGACGACCAGGCTGGCAACGGGGTTTCATTTGCATATCCTAATTTTTGGGGACTGGTAAACAACCCTGATTTCTATTTGGCTGTTTTCATTTAATGTCACCAGCATGTGTAGTTTTAAAAATGGTTCCACAAGTTGACAAATGCAGTGTTTCCCTGAAACCCTGCACTTGACCAACATCATGTTTTTATGTAAAAAAAAAAAAAATTGTAAAAGTTAACAAAACATTTTATGACAATGTAATTGGAAGACATTGTTGACAATACTTAAATACACAACTGCAGACACTTAAAAAAAAACATTCACAAAAATATATTTTGGAGCCATTTTATGTTCTTCAGTTGAATCCTAATTAAGTAATCAGAAATTGGCTTCATCTTAAAGCAAGCTGTGTAATGCTGGTGTAAGGCAGAATGAAGCGGCAAGTAAAACCCATGCGGCCAGCCACCACGCTTATAATGCAGGGGGCCACCCTGAATTGCACTGTAAAAATTGATTGTTAAATTTAAAAGGGAAAATGTGTACAGAAGTGCAGAAGTTTGGTTTAATTGTTTATCGCAAAATGTTTTATAAATATACTTTTAGGTTTAAAGCTGCAGTGTGGATTTTTTTATAAGAAAGAAAATGCTAATTTGTTGAAACTGTCACCGTGTTGTGACGGTGTGGTCTGAGACAAATCTGTTTAATCTTGGATATTGAGGTTGGTGTACATGTAAAAAAATAAGCTGAATGTCTGCTAAGTCAAGTAAAATAAATTAGTTGGACTCAGAGTGCTATTCTTGGGGGTACTACACATACATTCTGCAAACATTTACATAAAAAGCCATCCCTCAGGGATCCCTAATTAACTAAAACAGTGGTTCCCAAAGTTGAGGTCAGGACCCCAATGACACCCACACCCTTTATGAGTCATGAAACAAAAAGTAAGGGGCTCTTACAATAATCTCTCCCAATAAAATTATGACACATAGTGATGTACTGAGAGCATATTTTCAAATTTAGTAAGAAGCCTGCTGAGGCTGCCAGTCTTGTTTAATTGGTTTCATGGTGTTTTACAACTTCAACAGCAATAGACGTAAGTGTCTGCCAATGTTTCTCTGTAAGTGGGAAGCTGAAAATGTTGCAACTTACTGTAGTAAAGTTTTGAGATGACTGAAAAAGGTCGTAGGAAGCCTTGATGTCCAGTTAAATGGCACATGAATAAAGCAGGACGTGGCCCAGTAGGATGTCTAGATCAGAGGTAATGGACAGCCTGAAAATGTGTTAACATGCTGGTGATATTATTTTATATTACATATTACAGATCTTAGTGGCAATAATATGTTTTTTATGTTGTCATTCACTGTGTTTCACGTGCTGTTCAGTGACAAAAAAGTTATCGGTATCATTGTGTTTCAACATTTTAAAATTTTGATGCTACGAAATTTCTATCACCCAGTTATTAAGGATTAAAGTCTCAGATAAACATCCCAGAGAAAGTGAGGACCATATACGAGCACAGTGCTGCCTCTCCCACACATGTTGCTGCACACTTCAGATCAGCTGGTCTGTTACATTTTGCATCAATAATTTTACCATAAAATATCTGTGGTCAATTATCACACAGATGGTCACAAAATTAAAACGAAAGGAGCACCATCTATCACTTCCAGTGAAGTATTGCCACTTTAAAACTACAGTTGGCAAGCTGTGAACGGCATATGTTAAGCAGCCAAGTGCAGGCTGGCTACCGGAGCAGATAGCCTGACTGATTATCCTGCTATACTGGTTATACGTGCTTTACTCTAAGGAGCCATATATACAGCAACTGGGAAAGACCTCAAAGGAGTTGAAATTCACTATAACTTCAACAGCTGTTTATTCCTGATTTTTCACTTATTCTCTGTGCCAGAATCAAAATAATAATTAAATGTTAGAGGTGATAATGACATAGTGTCATTCAGCACAGGTGTGAGTTTTTAAAGTGGTGTAGTACATAGGAAACAAACTGCACAAACTGTTCAATTTTTGTTTATTTTATATTTTTTGTAACAAAAAAAAAAGGGTAAGCAGAGGGTAAGACTTAACGGAGACAAATGATTTGATGTGGCAACCGCTGACGGGAAAACCAGAAGAGGAGGAAGGAGAAGATTTCTAAGTCTCATTTATCCTTTTATATTTATCCTCATTTATCCTACTGGCTGGTCGCACACACCATACGTCATCACTACATCACTCCCTCCACCCTCAAAGCCAGCTTGCCCCTGTACATTTCAAAGTGATGCTGGCCTGTTACTATTTGTGAAACTGTTGTTTATTCTCAATCATATCACTCTTTGAGAACCTCATACCAGTACATAGCTATTTTAGTACAGATTTTCCTTCGTAATTTTTCAAACGCTCAGGATTTGTTTGATTGATGAGGAAATTAGATGCTTAACAGCTGATGTACCAGGAGCGCTATTGTGCATTTTCAATAAATCTGAAAATCACAGTGTTTAACTGTGGATGTCAGTTTAATAATAAATAAATAAATAAATAAATAAATAAATAAATAAATAAATAAATAAATAAATAAAGCAAGCTGACACACCAAAACAAAATGGTTTAAGGCCAATGCATACTCCCCATAAACAGCACAAGACAACTTGTGCTCTCTCTCTCTCAGGGTTGCTTGTTCTTGTATCCCTTTTTGATGTTTCCAGGAAATAAAAAAACAGATCTGCTGCAGTTGCAGGGAGCTATGAAGACTTCACAGTAGGGAAGCACCGATTGCAGTTTTCTGGCCGATTGCCAGTTACAATTCTTTGTTAAGTTGACTTAGCAATTCCGATTTTGGTTGATCTTGATAATTTTGTTTTAAATATTGCTAAATATAGCCAGAATGTCATTGAATTGGCAACAGTGGAGTGACTATTGCTAACAACAAACATGAATACATGACTTGATGCTTGGGTTTGTCAGTCAAACTTTTCTCACAGCAGAGCAAAAGAGGACAATGGTTGGTTTTTAGACATTTGCAGAGGTAAATTAGATCGCTTTCACGTGGAAGTATTGGCCAATCACAGATCTCCCAAATTAAGGAAATCAGGGCTGATTTATAAGATGTTCATTAAATCAGCTATAGGAAAACTCAATGTAGGAGTTCTCGTAAAATGTGAAATGTACAGGCCATAAAGTCCGTTGTTGTTTTTGCCGCTAGCTTGCTTTTAAGCACCACATTTTTCTGTTTTGTAGAATATCTACAGGACTAACAAACTGCTTCATTGACAGGCCATTGTGATGCTGTTTACACCCCTCTTCCTGGACTCTGTTGGTGTTTGCTCAGATTCTGCAATCTTCTGCTATTTAAAGGGTTTTATTTTTTATTTAATCAGACAGAGCCTGTCATTTATGCCTGCTCTTAAACGTTCCTTCCAGCATAATTCGTGACAAGTTGCATCTTAATTGCATCTGTGACTTGCAGGGCTAGAAAAGCTGCAGATTGTGTTTGAAAACATGCTGACAAATTTGCCTGAAAAAAAAAAAAAATGTTCATGTGGAGTGGAAGATATCATGCTGAGCATCTCTTCCGAATGGACAGATTTATGCCCTAATTAACATTTCTTTTGCTAATACTGTAAATATGACTTCATATGACTCACTATTTTATTATCTGCCTGGTGACGGAGGTACGGCTTATTTTGACAGATTAATCTGTCCCTTTGGATTGAATCTTATTTTGAGTGCTAGTGTAGCTTCACCTGCATAGCTGTCAGTACAGGACAGAATATGACTGTAGCATCATCAGTGTTGTTTGTTATTGTCATGCCAAAGTTAAAAAATGTCTTTGTCACTGCTCACACTCCAAGATTTTTCTGCAGCACAAGGATTAGCCCAACGTGCTGATAGCCAGATGTTGAACAAAGCTGCCAGGGAGCACTCTGCCAAAATAATAATAATAAAAAAAGATCAGCACCCTTTCTCTTAAGGACTACACAATTTGAAGCCTACAGGAAAAACTACATCAGATATTACTGTAAAGAAACAAAACAAAAAATAATTACTTTTTTCCATTGTACTCTCTGCAGATAAATTAACCCAACTTTTCTTAGCGTTTTAAAAATGCTATACGTTTTCCTGAAAGGACACTATTTAAGGTGCTTTATTTAATGTCATCCGGCACATATCTAATAAAATTATTGCTTTTTGAGTACGTTTAGAAAAACCTGCAAAAACAAACAACCTCAGACTGTATGCATGTGCATTATCTTCTGTTTTGGATCATTTGAGTGAATGTGGCTTGTTTGTTAATCCCTCTACATGCCCTCTTCGACACCACGAGTGGAAAGCAAACAGCTTCATTGATTCAGGTCGCTCTAATTTGGATGTTTACTCTGCATCGCAGTTGACATTTTACACAGTTCGTTAGTGGTCTCTGAAGATGATCAGGACACTCAGTAGGTGTTAATGACTCAGGCGGGAGCGCAAACACGATACCAGACGTGGACGCAGCATATTCTACGAGACTGAACAATAAGACTCATGTGGGTGGCCACACTGTGGGAGGACATTGTTGTATAAGCTCATATGCAGTGGGCAGATTTGCATTAATAGAAAAACAAATGCATATGAAATGCAGCTATGCAATCAGCTCCTATCAGCTGACTGACAGTTGGACATAATCGTCTATGTTTGCACGGCTATTTTGTTCTACGCTGTTTACGTGCACAACTCTCTGTGATGAGACTTACAGTCACTAGATAAGTGGTATTGAGTTGTGCTGGAGCTTGTGGTCATGGCTGATGAGTGCCTCCACATGAACGGCCTTTTGTCTAAAACCTGAAGTGCAGTGTTAGGTTCAAGGACCCACTTCAATTCTGATATTGCCAGTGAAGTGTGGTGTTTGGCGTACCCTTTCGGATAGCGAGGAGTGGAGCTATAGCGCTTTGGTGCCAAACGGTGATGAGTAGAGTCCAGGGTAACACGATCAACACGATGGCAAGAATATCTCTTCTCTTCGGCATCTCAATGATTGGTTGTTTGGCTCCGGATTATCTGAAAGAAAAAAAAAAAAAACAGACAGAAACATCTTTACTCTGTACATTTTAACACATAGCTTTCAAGGTAAGTCATGATGTGAAAATTGCAAAAGATAGATGAATAATGTTCACATTCTCAGAAATGGGAATTCTATAGAAAAGTATTTCCCTCCCTAACAGATTTTTTTTTCTTCTTTTGCTTGTTTGTCACACTTCTATATCATCAGAGCTTTTGGGTGATGAACTGATGGACATCACCCGAAGTCATTCTCCATCAGTTACAGCAAGTTCATCCTGAAGAAGCTGGGGATTATCACACTTCTGTGAGTCCATCTGACAGCAGAAGGAGGAACAGGTAACAGACAGTAAGTGGAATCAGCCATTTCTTCAATACCAAGAAAACCAGAGTCCTGTCCTTTCCCAAATGCAGACAAAATACTCCTTCTAACCACAGATCAGCCGAATATTGAAACTCTAGTTGTCCATTTGGGAGCTAATGATCTGGCAACAATCGGGGATTCTGAAAACAGACTTTACCATTCTTCTGAATACTATTGGAACACTAAAACTTAAGATTTTTCTTAGTGGCCCTGTCCCAGCAGCAGGATGGGGTGACCTGAAATACTCTCGACTTCTTTCTATAAACAAATGGCTGATAAAAGCATGTACTACCTGCACAGTGGCCTTCATTGTTAACCGCTGGATCTTCTGGGAAAGTTTGCACCTTTTCAGACTTGGTGGACGCCATCTTAATAACCATGGGATGAAGCTATTCTCTGCCAACTTATTTCATTTCATCAACGGGAACAACGTGGCCACAGAAAAACTGGCTCAAGGACGCCTGATTAGGATGGGACCCACCGCATATCAGGAAGCTATTCCAAAACAAACTGGCAAAACATCAACTGGAGAAAAAGTGGCAGATCTCTCCCTTCCTCCCTGCTCTGGTTCCCTCCCTGTTCTGCTCGTTCTTCATCTCTAAAAGCCTCTGATGAATTGTCCTCTCCAGGAATTGAGTTTCTCACCTTCATGGTTGGCGATTGACAATAACGATTCACCTGCACTAATTGAATCCGCGCCTCCTGATTACGATGTTTTAAAAGGAGAACAGAAAACAAAGAAGGAGGTGGCATAGCATCTTTTTATAGGAAATATCTGATCTCCAAGCACATTATTTTGAATATCTTGGATTTGAAGTAAAAACCCGTAAGCGAACTCTGATGCTAATTCTGTACAAAACCACTCCAAAACACGTGAATAATTTCTTCACTGACTTTAATGAGCTTTTATCTGTCATATGCATTCATTTTGAATGTCTAATAATTGTGGGAGATTTCAACATCCATGTTGACAAGCCCAAAGACAGAGGGGCAAAAAAGCTGTGTGACATACTTGATAATTTGGGGTCTGACTCGGCATGTTAAACAAGTGCAGACACATACTGGACCTGTTTATCAGTAAGGGTGTGAATATTTCTAACGTCTCTGTCACTGATGTCGGCCTGTCTGATCATTTCACTGTTATCTTTGAAAGTACAATCACCATTGACTCTTTAGCAAAACAGCTACTATCTCAAAACAGAGCAGCATTTGACACTGTTGATCATGACATATTACTGAGATGACTGGAGAGTTGGGTAGGACTCTGGCTCAGTTCTCATCTTGTTCAAATCGAGGAACAGGGATTTAGCTGAGCTATGGATGGCAAGTTAAAGAATGGTCTTTTTGCCCTCCAGCTTTGTGTGCAGGTGCAAAATTTCTGCATGTAAACAACAACATGCAACATGTCTATAGCTAGACAGAGAGGCCAAGAGCAAAGCTTTCCTCTCCTGTCTAACGTGAATGCTATTTTGAGACCCTTTAACCTGAAGATCAGGCAGTTACATACAATCTGACAAAAGTAGAATGGAAATGGAGGTGGGAGGAAGTGCGTCACTATTATCAATCCGTTGTGTAAAAGTGTAAAAAGAAAACATTTTATAGTGGCTTAAGATAATGCTATGCCATTCATTTTTAAACTATCTTGCTTTTCTATTTGCTACTTTTGCTGGAAACACTCTTCCATTCTCGGTCTGTTTCATGCAGAAAGATTCCAATCCACATAACCTTTGGCTTCTCTGTAAAAAAAAAAAACCCATCTAATCCTAACATTATAACAGTTTAAAGATTCATATAAACCACTCTGATATTCACTGTAAATCTGGAACATGGTGGAAATAACACATGGTTTTGGGGACACCTCTGTCTCCTCCAGGAAGAATATGAGGAAGTGGAGAGAGAGAGGCCTCACATGTTCTCTCCCTGTTCTCCAAAGCTCACCAACACTGAGTTTAAGACAACAGACCTCCGTCACTCCTCGCAGGGTTTGGTTTTCTCAGATGCTTAATAAGCTCCAGTTATACCGACATCATAACTGGAAAAATGAAGTTAAGTGATCTGCTCAATGAAATAAAGAAAAAAGTAAACATAAGGCAGACTGATGTTTGCTGTATTCATTTAAGTTTTGCTCATGAGGAAACAAGTTATCATATGTCCCTCATTGATTCTGCTCCCACTGCTGAGGAAGGTGGCAGAATGCCAAGATTTCACAGAATTGTAAAATCATTATATTCATTCTATTTGTTTGCAGATAAACACATTACTAACGTCTAAACCTTAGCAGGTGGCTCTGACCCTTCAACAATGCATTTTGAAGGTTTGTCAGCTTCAGAGGAAAAGAGATAAATCCAGAATAAACCTATTTATTTTAAATTACACAAAATTATTTTGTGGAAGATCTGAAAGCCCAATAACTAAGGCAGAAATATTTTCAACGCATTTTTGTAAGTTTTAAAACGATTCATTAAGCCTTGAACCAAAGGAATTTGGAAGAAGTTCCTAATTGAATTATTAATACTGGAGGTCAAAACATCGAAAAATGTTTAAAGACAAACATTAAGTCTGATAAGGTTTCAATGCCTACCGGTTGTTTTGAGAACATTCACTAACTAAAGGGGCAGAATATATTTTCAAATTGTAGCTTCATTGTGTCAGAGTAAGCATGAACACATTTTCCACATTTTTATTCAAGATTTTACGCTTTAGCCTTTTCATACAGTGCTGTGCCATCCTTTGGTTACTTCTTTCATTGGCGTTTTTTTAACATGCAGTGAATTTTTAAAACTGATTAGTCTTACATGAACAAAAATGTAGAAGTCAATTTCTAAACATTATTGTAATTACCTGCTTGTGTTGTAAATGGACTATAATAATGTAATGGGGACACTGCTTAGACCTTGGTGTCCCCACTCTTTATGTTGCGTTACTTAATCTTATGTACAGATTTATGTGGAGATTACGAGATTCTATAAAAAAAAAATCATCATCCTGTTACTAATGGATACTGCACAAAGCTCAGTCAGGTCTAAGTTCAGAATGTGGAACAATTAGTGTTTTAGCCTTTTTGCAAATTTGTGACTTAAATTTGTATTTCATTTACTCATATTTTATGAAAAAGGGGTATGAATTCTTTGCCAATACACTGTATGTGTATTTAAATGACTTACCCACAGTCAGAACTGGTTCATTGCGGTGCTGTTGATGCGTGGCTGAGAAGGCAAAACTCCATGCTCGATGGGTTACCTAACGGTGACTGTCTCCATGATACTTCAACATTACCCGTTTCTCTCCCTCTGGCTGCTTGCACACGCAGGCCACCAAAAGCCCCGATCCTGAAAAATCAAATCATTTAGTTAGAACAACCCAAATATAACACCAAAATAGCAAAAATCATTCAAAGAACAAAAATACTTTTGTTACGGAAAGTCCAACAGGACTTGTCATTTGACTAGATAGATATGTAAAGGAACACTGAGGTTTATCCAAAAATAAAACACACATACAACTATTCCTTTTAATTTAACATCAGGAAGCCAAAACTGAATGTATCCAAGCTACTTTTTTTTTTTTTTTCAAAAATACGACAGTTCTATGTGTTCTATGTGTCTATACATCTCTTACTGATATGTCATGTACTTAATTCATTCCAATCTAAATTGCACAAAGACTCAGTTTTTTTCATTGTTTGAATTCACCAAATGTGAAATGCAAAAAGGAGGTCAGTCAAAACTCCTCTGCCTGCCAGCAGTCTGTGTTGGGGGATGAAGCAAAAATAAGACATCATGTCTTATTCAAATACATCAGACACAATGCTGCTTCGGTGGAGGTTTCCAGTGACTTGTGGATACAGCGTCAACACCCGAGGACTTCAGTATTTTCTATGTAATGGAAACTTATATAAAATGCAAATGTTTGTTGTGCTGAACAGGAGCAGTCCTGAACATATCACTAATGCACATTGAGGTATAACATGAATCAGAAACGCATTGGTGCGTGGTTGTGCTTGACTTGCCAAAATGTCAACCAGACACTGGCTTTATGGATTAGGATCAAATTCGCTTTGCTCAAAATAGAGTAGCAAGTAAAACTTCAACTAAACGGCAGAACAGAAAACCTTAGCTAAGGGTGCCAGACTAAATGATCGCCGATCGCTGATTTCAGTGAAACGCTTTCTTTCCGAAAATTTTTTGAAATGTATCTTTTTTTAAACATCTGCCTGTTAAAGGACTCTATGAATGAAATACTAATGTAATTCCATTCAGTGTGTCTTCTCCTTTGACTGAGTTATTTTTTAAAAATAGTTTACGCACAAAACTTTTTGAAGGATGTTTTTATACATAGCTCTTGCTCTGCTTAATTGGAGACTTATTGTTGTCACTAGAATGAAATTTGTTCTCACTGTATTTCTGCCTCTCCCTCTGATCCTTTTTGAATAGTTGGTGCATTGAACCAGTTCGGTTACGACATCGTTGGTTCATAGAAAAACTGTGCAGACATAGAGAAATTTAATGTGGCACTTTACGCGCTGCTTTTATTGTTCATTACTCATTTTACAAGGCCAAAGTCTGACAGTGTGGCTCAGCTGCCTGTCTCTGAAGGCTGGAGTAGTGGGTGGTACTGGTCTAACTTCAGCTGCGTTTGGGGTGGAATTTATGGTGTTATGGATTCGTTTTGCTGTATTTATATGCTAAGCGGCAGTGCTTTTGTGATAGATGTGTTAACAATACACAAAGGGAGTACCACAGCTTCTGTTTGTAGAGCCAGCCATCACTTCAGACTGGGTAATTTATTTAACATCAAACCTGGGTTTATGCTGTTGAGGCAGAAATTGGGATAGTAGTTTGGTAGTTGAAATCAAACATTATGTTTGTTGGGTAGAAGATGGTGATGGCTGGTGGGGAAAAAAAAAGAAAATCTTAGTGGGACTGATGGGCCAATAGATTTCCAGTCCAGTAGAGGGAGCGTTGAACAGGCTTCATAGCACTAGATCGATGCTATGAACCCTACCGAAAATGGCCTGGGCTGTAAGCAGCCTCCACCACTGCGAAGAGAGAAGTGCTGAGTTGAACGAGGCGGATTTTAATGTTAATTCAATATTTGGAAATGTGATCAACTTGGGCTGAACGACTTAATTCACTACCTCTGCTGCCATTGCTGAAACTACAGGCAGACTACAATTCTAAAACAGTGCAGAAAATCAAAGTCATCCTTCACAACTTGACTGGCACGTTAGTATTCTACCAGAAGGAATCCAGATAAACAGGGGAAAGCCCAGACTGTCTGTGAGGCGTGATTTTAATCAAGATGAATTGCACAGGAAGGTAATGGCTAGGCTAAATTGTGGTCTAACTCACGAGTCCTCAAAATCTGAGACAGAGACAAGAGAGTTTGGATATGAATTTAGCTATCTGAATTCACTTATTAGTAAAAGTCTTACTGTGTTTTTTTTTATGATTAAATTCACAGAGAATTAGATAAAAAAGGTGGCGAGTGGTTTCAAATGATGGGTCATTCTTTCAAATCCTCCCTTTGACAGCCTTCATGACATCGGCCACTTCAGTCCTATATCAAAAAAGACCTCTGTTGTTTTTACAACAGGCAGTTAAGTGGACCTTGACTGCATGATGAACATGCAGCCCAGCACAGAGAAGTATTAGTGTGCATTCAGAAAGTCCCTATCACCCAAGTGCCATGTTTGCTTCTGTGCCACCTGAAATACAGTGTGATGCAGCAAGAATACAGAGTCAGTCCCAGACTGCGGCACACAATGAAGCCTGACAGCCTTTCACATCAGCACGAACTAACCAGCTGTGAAGGGAACACCTGCCGCTGATTAATACAAGATCAGAACAACAGTAGCGTACCTGAAAATTGTTGGACTAATTGATGAACTAACACCATTAACCCCAAAAGGTTAGACATGGGGGTAAAACACTACATTTCTTTGGTCGGTTTTAAATGTCAGAGAAAATTGCACCTTATGAGATGAAAAGATACAAGATGTCTACTCCCATTTTTTTTTAATAACTGATTTTATCATTGGTATTAGCAGAGCAGAAACTGCTTATCTGCTTGCTATAATCATCTTGAAATGTGTTTTGCTAAATTATTGTTATCTGGACTGTAGAAGCCATTTAATAGAGATAAGATCTAAATGCTGACTGAAACACCATCAAGTTAAATACAATCACTTCCTTCCCTTCCCATAAAATCAGCCTGGAGATGAAGTAGGGGCAAGCCTCCAACTTTGCAATGAGTCTATCTCTGACATGTTAACTCCCCTTTGCTCTGTGCATCCCCTATGTCATGAAGACCAGAAATAACTTAATCCTTCCCAGCCTTGGCTTGCTGTAGCATCTTTTTTCTGTATTCTCCAATCGGCAAGTAGGAGACGCTCTCTGGAGATGCTGCGTTGTGGAATGTACAATTACTTTTCTTTTTGTACACATACGTCTACGGGCTACTCTGAATTGCCCCGAACAATTTTCTGGTGGGGTGTCTCGGGATCTGTAGAGGACAAGCTGCTACAATAGATCATTATTGATGATGCTGTCACAGCTCTTTGAAACAACCTCGCCAAGAGGTATCATTAAATGTGAATTTTAAAATCTGCATTGATTTAAGTTGGCTAAATTGCTTTTGAAGGACATGAAGTCAGGAGTAGGTGATCTGTCTCGTGTTTCTCTGTTGTTAGTGCTTTGTTTATAGATTCAAAGCTACTATGGTTGGCTTATGATTGGTAATTAATAAGGGTCTACCTTCCGAGTAACACAAGTTTTTACCATACATAATTGTGCACTAAAATGAGACAAAAAAAAAAAAAAAATCATTGTTTTTTTCAGCTAAAGTTGCTTGTTCTGGTAAGTTTGACAGTAAATCCTATGTCAACTAGTTCCTCGTAAAAGAGAATATTTCTTACAATTACTGGCACATTTCTTTAAGAACCTACTCTTAGAACCAGGGTAATGTTTGAGGCCATTCTTATTTATTCCTGCCTTTTTTACTCCATCCACCAGCATAAAAAAAATGGCCTAAATAGAAATTTACCCAAGGCAGTATTTGCCATGTTGGGAGGGAAATAAATTACCCTGAACCTTTAGGCTGAAGTTTATGGAGGGAGGCTGCTAACAGGGTTTAGAGTCAGAATACCTAAAACTGTGAAAGTATGGAAAGCAAATTAATCACAACTACCCTGTTGTTTTTTCAAAGCTGATAAGTAATTGCCAAATACACTTTTCTGATACAAAGGGGAAAAAAAAACAACTCCTTTTGAGTTATGCTTACGAAAACACAAGTAAAAGAAGTCTTTCACCATAATCACATAAATTGTTCTTTTGATTAAAAAAGCTTTTAAACCAAATTCTGTTAAAATAATCTATGACGGCTAACTGAGAACCCAAGAAATGAATAGGGTGAGGAGTTTTTCTATAAAGATCACCTTTGCAAGAAATGGGGGGTGAGCTACGTTTCAGAACCCTGAAAATAGTTTTTCTGCAAACTGTTTTTAAGAACCCAAGAGAAGAAGATTCAGTGCTGTTTATACAGATAAATGATTCAAGAATAAACAGCTAGTGCAAAGAGCTGACAACAGCTGTAGTTTGTGAGCATAAAGTTTATAATTGTTAATAAGAAAAAAAAATCCTGATTGATTAAATCCCCATTTGATCCTCTGAATAAATATAGGTATTTTAACTTCCCCCCCGTTCATCCACCACATGAGTAGCTTTGACTCAAGGAGAAGGCTTAAGAGCAAACAACATATTCTGGCTTCAACTATAGATGGAGAAATAATGCTTAGGTAGCAAGACAGACGTTGTCCTCGGAAATATAATGTTTTTATAGTTATAGTACTGCAGTGTTATTAAAACCAGCTACATTTCCAGCTACAGTGAGACGGCCTGCCTGGCTTGTTTGTGGCTCTGGGGAGATTTTTCCCTGCTTGGTATTGGATATTTTGCTGCTGGTACTTTGTGCGGGTGCTACCAGGGTCTGGGTTTAACCTGCATGAGGGGACTGACTGCATCTGCCTGGGGATGGTGAGGCCTTCTTGAGCCAGGTCCACCTGCTGTCTGCTGCTGGTGGGTGCTGAGAGTTGCAGACTTTTGACATTTCTCACCACTCTAACATCTGTACACCTCCAGGTGACAAATTCACTCACATACACCCAACAAATGTACTACTACACAAAAGCTCACCACAGCTCAAACGCACACATACACACACAGACACGCATACATGCACCAATCTACGCACAAATACAAAAGTAAACCCAGTGGTTGAAGGTCAAACAAAGACAGGTTACTATTAGAGAAACACTGGATTCAGTCTTTAA